ACGTGTCCTTCACAGCTAAACACACTGATTCTGATGATGAACGCGTGTCTCTTTTCTTCACTGCTAATCGTAAGATGAGCACTCATCTGTCTTCTCGGTCTTTAATATTCAGGCATCCACTCAAAGACTCTGGTTTACTTTGTGTTGAATTTAATACCTGGCATGGGGGAGAATTTCACTGCATTTTACTGATTTTGGCTCTAGTTGCTCTGACAACTTTTGATTAATGCAGCTTCCCCAGGCCCCACTTAAATGACCATTGTATGCTACAATCTGCAACATTATACAATTATTACACCCATCTTTTTCATGAGGTCAACCCACCAGAGTCAGGGACTCTGTTTTGCAGGATTAGGCCAGGAAGCAAAGCATGCTAGCATTATTGCTTTATTAATAAAGTGGCTGTTTCTTGCTGTAATATTTTTTGATATAACTGACTCTCTTTCTATCACAAATTTGGGATTTAGCTTATACAATTCGGCACTATTTGAGCTCTGTGTGAAGACGGTCACACCGTCAAAAACGCTGCTTCCCACTACTAGGTCTTTGCTGCCTTTTTCCAATTATCTTTTTTGACAGGCATTTGGTCAGCATTTTGGTTCCAGCCAAAAGCATTTCATTTAAGACATTCCTAGATATTCAAAACATAAGATTACTACCTGTCCAAAGCTGATAATTCATAGCAGCTCACATAGATAGAAAAAACAAGCATGCATTGGTTTACCTCACTTAAAGATAAGAAAAGCGATGACCTAAAACTAATGTTCCATTAAAAGATTCCTAACTCCTCAATTCACCTACACCTCAGTTTACTGGTGACTTTAGTCTAGGAGACATACTGCTTGTGCCTTACTCTCAGGAAAAAAAATTAACCGTCTACCCACAGCACAGAAGAAGACAAGCCTTCACTTGTGTCTCTGATAAGCATCAAACTTACCAGATTGCTAACATTGAAGCTTATTAACATTTGACAAAAATGCTAATAGATCAAGGGTCATAGGCTTCACCTGTCTGTTTATGTAGGCTGCCTGGTTACCTATGACTGCAAAGTTTTGTGGGTCTTTATAGCTGGGTAAGAAAAAAGAGAAGAAGTGGCAACAGACAGAAGTGGAAACAGAAACAAAAGTGTCCCAGAAATAAGCAAAGATAGGAAAATGACAAAGAAGAAAAAGAATATAGCAAAGAACTAGAATTGAAATGGATTGAGAGAGAATTATAGCTAAAACAGAAGAATTAGAATAGAGTTCAAGGAAGAGAGAACAATAAAGAGTCATGGATAGAAAGAACATGTTATGACTTCTAAACCATCAGATTTTAGTTCCTTTTGCTAGTGGTAGCTTTATTTTGAATCCTGAGAGAAAATCTTAAACACTGGTCCTTTAAGGTTTCAGTTAGTGGTGTCCTTGAAGAATGTCAGTTATTGGTGTTTATAAGAAAATGCCGTAATAAGACCCATCACTTCGTATGCTTGCTAATATAAGACAGAGCACCGTAAGTCCATTCCCTTCAAAGGCCTGGACTTATCTTTAAGCTGCATTATCCACAGTATACACTAGTGCTTTAGAAGGGCTTTGAAAAGAGCTGGAGAGATGGCTCAGAGGTTAAGAGCATTGCCTGCTCTTCCAAAGGTCCTGAGTTCAATTCCCAGCAACCACATTGTGGCTCACAACCATCTGTAATGAGGTCTGGTGCCCTCTTCTGGCCTGCAGGCATACACACAGACAGAATATTATATACACAATAAATTAATAAATAAATAAAAGAAGGGCTTTGAAAACAGGACATGTGTCTAGATCAAGTCTATTTTTTCCATTTTGGGTTTCTAACAACCATGTGTAACTTTGAGAATGCTTAGGGAGCTGCACAAGGAGAGTCCCAGGGAAGGATTGTTTCACTTGCCAAATTCTTCCAGAAGTTTTTAAAAGAATCAATACCATTTTTCCCCAAATTTTGTTTAAAAATATCGAAAAGACAGGATAATTTTATGGTTTTCTTTTCCTTTTTCCGTTATTAGTGAGAAAATGTTGACGCAAGCAATAGGGAATGATAACAATATCCTCACCATCGTCCTGTTCCTCAAGCAGACACTAAATGCAGAACCATTGCTGGAAGCTGTGAGAACAGAGAGACATCAATGGGGTTTGAGGGGAAAGCTCCCCCTTTCCTCATCAATGCCATCTTTCCCTATCATCAAACCCTGTCCCTGCGCTTTCTCCTAACGCCACCAAATATTTCCCTAAAAGAATGCTGTTTTTTTTTTTAAAAAAAACAAAAACAAAAACAAACAAAGACCCCCGTGAAAACATCTGTCTTTCAAAACTTGAGATTGTATTTGGTCCATTTAAGGCAGCATGAGCAATCATACTGTTAAGGATCCTCAAAAAGAAGGCAAACAAAAAATATAACACACATAAATCTCTATAAAAATATGTGCTTATAGGTTTGATGAATTTTTCTCTTCTGGGCTCACAATTTTTGCTCCAAGAGCCAAAAACCATCTAACAAAAACTCCAACACCAGGCTAAAAAGCCCTCTTTTGAGTTGGTGATCATGGTTGTCCAAGAGACTATTATAGCACCATCTACTGCTAAGTTCATTGGTTGCCTCTAGAGGTGGAAAGTATTACTGAAGACACTCTATGCTTCAGGTTCAGAGGTACCTGACTTAGAAAGAACTGGCCTGGAAATCTCCTCCTTGGGACCAGCTTTCATGGTGCCTTCTGGTACCATGTAAACTTCTAGAGGAGGGAAACATCCAACAGCCCTACCCAGCTATGATAGCTATGAACAACAGCCCTCAGGGTGCTGGAGTGGCATGCACACCTTTGCAATAAACAACAGTTCTGTAATTAATTACACTTGAGGACTTCTTAACAAGACAGAAATAATGTCTGGTACTAGAAACCTAGCCAACTATCCAGGGATACAGAAGCCATGGATCTTAGAGGAAAACCTATAACCACCGTTTTAATAAGCCAGTACAATCCCTAACTGCACTCTAAATATCTGTCTTTAGACCCACAGATATTTGTGGGCCTTACTCCTCATCAAGGAAAGAACTTTAGCAACCATGGAGACCATTACAGAAAACTACAACCTATAAAAATGTCGAGTTGTGTCGCAGTGGATACATCTACAAAACAATTGGCTCACCTAATGCTCAAGGGCAGGTAGACTGGGAGAGATGATCAGGAAGTTTGCTATATATATTGTGTCTCCAAAGAATGTCAGAAGTTACACCCTTAAAGTCTCTCCAAAATGATTTCCTAAGCATGAGATGAGGAAGGACAATAACAATAGATATGCTGAAGTGGATGCACAAAAACTACAGGCAACTAAAAATACATAGTGGTAGAAATAGTCTTCACCAGGGAGAGCACATCAATTACTTATCCAATACTGAATAATCATCACTGAAAACATCATACAAGTCACACACTCACAGAAAAAGGTATATTTATGTATTTATGCATATATGTGTATGTGATAACAATGAACAAAAATGGAAGCCATAAATTTGATAGAGAGAATGAGGGGTATTATTGGAAGGTTTGGAGGGAGAAAAGGAAAGAAAACATGATGTAATTGTAGTTTAATCTCAAAAAAATAAAAGAAAGACATTTGAAGTGATTATTTAAGAGATGATAGTTGTGTAAATTGTGCTGGTTGTAGTGATCCGTTCACAGTGTATACATGTACCAAGTCATCACATAGTATACATTACATATCATTTTTATCAATTATATGTCAAATAAGCTATGGGAAAAATAAATTAAAGAGTATGTTATATGATACGTGCATTGATATTTTCCATGTGATGTATAAAATATTCAACATAAGATATATAAAATCAATTTGGCATTAAATAATCTATGGTGCTTATTAAATGTATAAATATTCAATTAGCAAAAAAATGACATGACAATAAAGGAAAATGAAATGGGTCATTAATAATAGTATAATGAGTATGACAAAAGTCATAAGACTTCCTACCCTATGGTATAAATATCATAGGCTATATTTATATGATAGGTATCATATATGTATATATACATGAATTCTTCATGAGCAGCATCCTCTAAAACTCAATTTCACATAGGTACAATTTGTTTTCAACAGCCTTGTGTGAGAAAGAAGCAGCATAGGAATGTGCTATTTCTGAAGAGGTAATAGCTTGTTTTGTTCCCGTATGTTCTTCTATCTGCACTTCCTTGATTGCATACTTCTGGTAATGTATTAAGCAAAATCTTATAAACATGGTGTAATGACTATGTAGGATCTTTGCATATAGTAGCTCTTAAGACAAGCTCAGCACAAGAAGTTCTGTGGGTCTCCAGCCTCCCTTCGTGAAATTTCCTGTTGTAGACCGGATCCTGCTCCGGCTTCACTCTGACCAAATCTGTCCCTCGTCTCTTTTTGACCTCAATTCACCAGGGCCATCTTACTCTCTCCATAATGGTCCCAAGGAAGGGATTCACAAAGAAGTCTTCTTTTATGAAAGTGATAATACCCCATAACCACTCAAAGAACTGACTGCAACCCATAGGTATTCAGGTCTGGTCCATGGTTCAAACCTTCTGAAAACAGCAAGCTCCAACTTCAGAACACAAACCCCCACCCCACCCCCCGCAGCCCCCGTTCTATCAGCTTACTAGCTTGGAAAATGTCTGCTTCTTTTCTTCCCTGACCATAGAAAGGTAAATACTCAAGCAGATGGGGAACAGAAGAAAATAGCAAGGCCCTTTCATCATTATCAGCTGGAAGGGAGGGCTGTCACTGAGCACACAACACAGACCAACATCATGATGGCAGATGTGAGAACTCAGGAACATCAAAAGGATCTTGAAGGTCACAGTCTCTCCCAGTTCCCATCAGTGTGTGCCCTCTCTATCTACAGGGCTGTCTCGGCACCTTCTCATGACAGCCCTATAAATGCAGGCGGGCTCCTCAGTCCCTACACACTGGGCTCCTGCTCACTCTTCCTTCAGGTGATTCTCAGCCATGAAGACTCTTGTCCTCCTCTCTGTCCTTGCCCTGCTGGCCTTCCAGGCCCAGGCTGATCCTCTCTCGGAAGCAGCTGAGGAGACTAAAACTGATGAGCAGCCAGGGGTAGAGGACCAGGATGTGTCCATCTCCTTTGGGGACCCAGAAGACTCTGCTCTTCAAGATGGAGGTGAGTGCTGGTGCCCAGTGTGATAGTGGTTGGCGTCTCCTGAGAGAGGGTGGAAGATGGGACTGGAATCCTGTCCAGGGCCGTGTGATTTAGGTCGGGTTCTCTGTTGGTCCTCTAGATCTTCACTGTCTTATTTGGAGAAGTAAAAGTGAGAATCAAAAGAGTGTAACTGATTTTCTTTTATTTAAGTGTTTTGATATAAACTTTATTTGTTGAATAGTTTTAAAATATAGAACATATTGAGATTGTCTATCCAATTGATAACTTTGTTAATAAAAGAAAAATCTGTTTTGCTTAAAAGAATAGATTTAGGAACTAAATGCCAGTGTATGAGTGTGTTGGGTTAGGAGACATTAAAAGTTGAAGGACTGCAAAATGGGTGTCAAGGTATGCATGCGATCAACACTTGTTAAATGTATTTTTTTCCCAGTGTTTGGAGTTGCTCGTGGTGCTGGGTGTGATGTCACCAATGCAGACAAACCGGCTCTGTACCGTGTATCATGCATCTTCATAGTGTTGTGCACTATTGCACACTGCTGGCTACCGTACTTAATGCCTGTTGTTCTTTGTTTCCTCAGCCTCAAGAAAGGTCCCACTGTGCCGCTGTAGAAAGGTATGCAGATTTTATGAACGGGTCCGTGCAATCTGCAAAGACAAGAAACGAGTCTGCTGCAGATGAGACGAGAGACGCAATCACCATGTGTTCTGAGACCTCATGATCAGCCATTGCCCTTGTACTCAGCCTCAATTCCTTTTTTCTCAAATAAACTTTCTTGCAGACAACCTGGTTTTATGTTTCTTTGATGCTTTCTACGTTACTTAGCCAGGACTTTTCCAAGCTATGTAGCTTCTCTGAGAAGTTAATTTTCTATTTCCTTGCCTCCCATTGCACTCTTAGTTCAACAAATGGACAACCATCCATTTCCATTGTTATTGTAAGTATTTCCTATTCCTTCTCTTAGAATTAGAAGGCCTGGAAGATACACATACATAGTTGTCAGTGTAGTTTTTGAAAATTGAAGTTGTCTGTCCCCTCCCTAATGTCCAATAAATACTTTATATTTTTAATGAGCAGCTTATATGTCATTTAAGACCTTTTGATTCTCCTTCAAGGAAATTTCTTGATCAGCCCCTCCTGTGAGTAGCAGGGACTGAGTGTCTGTGAGGGGCGTAAAGAAATTGGTCTCAAGCAAGCTCATCAGTCAACTGTAGGCTCAGAGGTAATGGCTTGTTGGACATGGATGGGCTTTTGAACTCCCACTGCATACACAGTACTAAACCATGAAATGGCTCACAGTTTTGGGAGCAGTTTTTTCTTACAAGTCTCTGCATCAGGGCCTTTGTTGGACAATTGTTCCTGTCCTTGTTTGTGACATTCATAGACCAGTGTGGAAAATGAATAGAACTCCATCCATCCATCCATCCATCCATCAACCATCCATCCATCCATCCATCCATCCATCAACCATCCTCCATTTCCTAGACAGACCATGTCCATTTACTAAATAATGGTCATATATTTAAATTATGACTTCTGATGCCTGGTAGTTAGCTTGTCTTCAATATTTATAGATAAAAGAGGAAGCCTTCTCATTGTACCAAAGGTAGGGATGTGGAAAGCACAAACCTATATGAGGTGATTAGTGAACTGTTGGGTTCTGTGCCCAGAACCCAAATGTTCCCAACATTGAGAATAGCTAGTTCTGTAACATGCTGAACAAGTAATCAAGAATTTAGGGTAGTAGTTAAATACATGGGGCTATGCGACGGCCATGTTACTTGATCTTCAATGACTTTCAGTGAGAGGAGTAAACTCTCCAACTTGCTGTCAAGACTCAGATAGGAAACTGCTTATTGAAACCTTTTCCTTGGCAGGGTCTCAACAGACCTATACATAGTCAGCCTTCTCTCTGGACACACACTTAGCTTATGCTCTCTAGTCCTTCAGGTAACTCTCATCGACTTCATGGCCATTCCCCTGCTAGTCCTCTGGGGCCCAAAATGGACCTCTCTGAGAAAAACCTGAGCAATCTCTATTCCAGGAACATCTTGGCTAGAGAACCATGACATAATCAAAGAGAAGGTGAATGGCCAAAACAGAATAGGGACAGATAGGGAAAATAAAGATCAGGGTCTAGATACAGACTGTATAAATAATCTGGAAAGGTTATATCTATATATCAATATCACATATACATATATTCATATATTTAAATAATCTATGTCTATATATCTATATTATAAATGCCTATATCTAAATATCTTTGTATTTCTTTAGTTTATTTTACCTCATCCATATGTTCAAGCATGAGAACCAAATAAGTATAGGAGATTTTCTTCTGCCATAAACTTCTGATATGTTTGAAATTGCTATCTATAAGTTAGAAAAAGTAAGCTATGAGTAATTAATATTATATTTGAGTATCAAGTTTTATTACACAGTCTATTTCTCTCTGCATATAAGAAAAAATTATTAAAATTGGAATGTGTGAGTGTGTATAGGTATATGAGCTGGGAGGCTCCAGAAACACCTACAAGGAAAGGCAGTAAGAAAACCTCTCACATTCTGGAAGGAACAACAGCTCATACGGATGTCGATTCCTACCATCAGAGTTGCTCAAATTGCTTGTATAACAAAGCCATCCAACTCAGCATGGGATTTCCCTCACATTTGTCACTATTGTATAGTGGACCTGTTTTTAGTGTCTATTGTTCTCCATGTCTTAGGTCCTTCACTGAAATTTCTTTTTTCTATTTTTTTTTAAACTGAGTATTTTGGTGTAGACATGGTATCCTAGAATTTGTTCTGTAGAATGGACTGGCCTCAAACTCAGAGATCCATCGGCCTCTGACTCTCAAATGCTGGGATTAAAGGCTTGTGCCACCTCTCCCCGGCTAAGGAACATATCTTCATAAAGAAGAATTCACCAGAAGAAAACAGACCTGTATGGGTCACAGGATAATACTCGTCTTTATATTGTGAATGAAAGCAGAAAAGCAGCAAATTTGTTTGTTTGTTTGGTTATTACAGGGGAATTACTAATATGTTTGGTTATTACAGGGGAATTACTAGATTCTTTGGTTATTACAGGGGAATTGTTAACAGCCGGGCGGTGGTGGCGCACGCCTTTAATCCCAGCACTCGGGAGGCAGAGGCAGGCGGATCTCTGTGAGTTCGAGACCAGCCTGGTCTACAGAGCTAGTGCCAGGACAGGCTCCAAAGCTACAGAGAAACCCTGTCTCGAAAAACTAAAAAAAAAAAAAAAAAAAAAAACAGTGTTCTATTTACTTTCACCTCAAATTCCTCTCTAGAAAATTCTTACTATTTCACTGATATTTACTTTCTACTATTTCATTGATATTTATTTCTTGCTATTTCATTGATGTTTGGTTTGTGTCTTTGTAAAGACTCTTGGGTTCATGCATCAGAATCATTATTAGTGCCGGAGGGGGAATAACATGGAGGTCAAAGGACAACTTTGTGGAGTCAGCTTTTACCTTCCATTTTGTGTACATTTTGGTACTCAAACCTGAATCACTAGGATTGCTTGGTAAGTACCTATACCCACTTTAAACAGAGAATCACCATAATGTCTGCTTCCTGGCTTAATTGCAACTAAACAGTTCCCATCACTGCTCAAAAACTTCTGACAAGATTTATCTCTTAACTAATCACTCAGTAGAATTATCTTACTATCTTTATATTGGATTTAAAATAAATATACAAATCTTACTTCACTGACTATTAAAGTATTCAGTTTTTGGGAATTGTTTGATAAACCTTAAAATTATAAACTGGTTCTTTAAAAAATAGATTCTTACATTATAAATACCGTTTGACAAACTAACTCCAGTGTCATACCACCTATGACCTATAAACAGCTTGTGCAGTGTGTGACTCACGATGTGAATTCAACAGCTCTGCAATTAGTCATAATGAACTCACACCTTACACAGACAAGAGGCAAAGAGTTCACAGGTCAGCTGTGGCCCACATCCCAAGGCTGGATGTCATTGCTTCCAAGGATGACCCCTGAGGTCTAGTCATTGAACTGGCTCTCCTGCGATACCCCACGTGAACCACTTTCTCCTTCAGCTTGGGTTTGTAACAGTAAGCTTGCGGCTATAACTAAACACACTTTTATGAGTGTCTTGACAGTATTTATTTCTCACAGTTCTGAAGGCGGAAGACATCTAAGATCCAAGGAAGTTTCCAGGTTGATTCTCCCAAAAGGGCTGACTCCTGACTTGAATTTGGAATCTACATCTTATATCCTCATTTAGTAAAAGAGGGAGCCGGAGCTTTTGTGTCTTTTTCTTCATCATGGCGCTCTACCATCAGAACCTCCTCTAGTCCTAATCACCTCCCGAAGATCCCACTTCCAATACCATCACCCTTGTAGTGAGGGCTTCAACATTTGATGTGAAGAAAAGACAACCCATCCACGGCAGCATCCCTCAAGATCCCTTCACAGGATCATAGAGGGACTGGGAAAACCACCGTCTGCAGACAGACATTGAAAGCATCTGGAGAAGAGACAAACATTGAAGTTCATCTTGCAGGCAATGCTGTTGTTCCATCAAGAGGACAGGAACCCCACCAGAACTCACAGCACAGAGAGGAACGTCTCCCTTGTCTACTATCGCCTTTGACTCAAGAGGCTTCCTGGGATGGGGTCTTCTCTCTCCTCCCATCCGAGCCAAGGTTGTATTGCAAACACATGGAGGCTCCATTTTAGAAGTTGGAGCTTCTCTCGGAATTTCCCCCTAATTGCTATTTCCTATCATATCTCATTTAGAAAATAAAGATTAGTGATTCTCGAACATTCTTAGTTTATTTATTGATATGCCCTAGATACCCAGAGTCCTTGTCACCCAGCTTTCTGATCCCTCAGAAAGGGAAATGAGAGAAAAGATTTTACCTATAGATTTATCAGAATCTCCCTGTCAGGAAAGAAGCTACCAAGCTTTTTGGCAACTCTGTGGCTGCAGACTGCCGCGCCCTGCGCCCCGGTCCCGTGTCTGCGCTCTGTGCGCTATTACCCAGTTCGCAAGCTTCGGGAAAGGGGGCTGGAGGTTGAGAATACACACGCAGAGACAGACCGACACATGCAGACCTTTTAACACTGATACCATAGCCCCAAGAATGCCCCCTTTATTGTGTTCAGGGGCAGATTATATAGAGATAGCCACGCTCCAGCCAAACCCACCAGAAACCACTCTCCCGCCATCAGGAACTCCTGAAGGTCTCGTGCTCAGAGCAGCTGTAAGCACTCAGATCGGGGGAAACAAGATGTTTACAAGAAATTCAGGATCTGGGGTCTCACTGCTCCCAACAGCAGGCAGTGAGTTTCCTTCTTGATCATGCTCTATTCCAGAGTAGAACCCAGGTTCCCTCCTCTTGTGCAGTCAGCACTCTCAATGGGTGACTTCTATGTTGCCCTGATGTCATTCAGACAGCAGGCAGAGATGGAGGCACTGATCCCAAAGAATGCATTCACTGTAACTATATTCCATTATAGTGGAAGAAATGTCCCATTGTCACTCACATGTCACCCATAAGAACTAACTGCACAGACAATGTGGAAACTGTGGTGAAGGAAGTATGCTTGGTGCTAAAGAAGAGGAAGCCTGGCTGTAGGACCAGGATCTATCCCTGATGCTTGAGCCCATTCCCTCTGGTGGGATGCCATGCTCAGCCTTAATGCAGGGGGAAGGGCTTGCTCCTGCCCCAACATAATGTGCCAGACTTTGGTGACTCCCCATGGGACCCTTACCCATTGGGAGAAGTGGGATGGTGGAATAGACGGGAGGGGGGTTGGAAGGAGGGGCAAAGGGGCAAAACTGTGGAAGGAATGCAAAATGAAACTTAAAAAATAAAATTAAAAAAAGGAAGCAGGTTACCGAGTAACTAGTTCCCTCTAACTTTTGATCACCAATTATTTTCCTTTTGACAAAGGTTATGCTCGCCCCTTTTCCTAGGGAGAAAATCTAAGTCTCTTCTACCTCTGTGTCTTGGGGATGCCCACTTACCCTCATTACGTCTGCAGGTGTTCGATTGTGGTCCCGGGATGTAGAACTGAAAGACGATGGATGCAGGAGAATAGACTTGCTGGATTTGTAGCTCGTCCTGCAAGCACAACTCCTGATGGGACATCCTTGCTCTGGTAGGTCTGACTGCCATTCCACCCTCTAGCTCAATAATGAGGGGTGCAATACTCACTAACACTTAGGTCACGCTTGGGTGTGCCAGGTTTCAGTTGGCACATTATCGATCCATTCCCCAGGACAATTTTACAATGCAGGCTCTGGGAGTATTTTGTTTTATAGATTATAAAAAAAAAAGAGCCGGACCCATACAATCAGTAGGTAAATTGTCCGTGCTTTCCTCTTGAAAGTAGGACTGGGGCTTGGAATTCACCCCACCTGCTTCCAATGCCTGTTTACCACGAAATGCAGCCCTGTTAGGGCTAATCTGCTCAGGATTTTAAAGACCCCCAGAACTGAATGAAGGATGAAGTATGTTTCTCAGACACACGTCCCTCCCCCACAAACAGAAAACACATGCATGAAGTCACCTTCCGGGTCCTATTTTAATAGCAGCCAGCAGGTCTTGACAAGCTGGTTAGGGAGTGTGCCGAACTGACTCTCTCTTTACCCCTGAGCCCTGCCATGCCTCTCTCTCCAGCTTGTGTCGGGTACAGGACAAGACTCTGTTTCTCTAGCTGCTGGAAAGTGAGCTCCAAGGAGAGGGGGGCATTTGGCCAGCTATTTGATGCCTCACTAGCATGGGCCTGCATCTCATTTTTTAATAAAATTAAAAACTGAAATATTAAGCTCTCAACCCTCTGTGAGAACAAAACAGTGGCTAAAGAAACTCTGTAAACACATCCACCAGCTGTGCAATGTGCCCCTTATCTTTCCTACCCCTTTCTTAAACGACTTCCTGCACATTTGTTAAAACAAAACAGCGGGTCATATCCTTCTCAGATCCCCAGTCAGGATCCCATTGTCCTTAGGAAATATTTCAAACTCCTTCAATGGTTTGGCATGGTTCCTACATTAGAGGTCTCAGTCCCCTTTGGTGCCCCATGTGTGGTAAGCTCCTAGGCTATCCTGAACCAGATCAACCTCTTTTTGTTTTTCCCCAGGTGCTGGGGAAAAGCCAGATGTTGCTCAGCCAGGTTTCTGTAGGACCAATACACCTCTATGGACACTTTCTTCAAAGTTTGAAGAAAGACGGTGTAACTACATATCCCTGCATGCCATTGCCTCCTTACGAAGCTCAGTGAGGGCTGCCGCCAGTCACTGCATCAGCTGAGCTGATAATAAACCCATTGTAGGCCGTTTAGGTGGTCCATCTGCAAAAGGTGTGATGTCTCTGAGCACAGTCACACGAATGCTACTTGTCTCCCAATTCCAAGCCTAAAATATGTGATGGGTAGGAGTCTCTCTCTCTCTCTCTCTCTCTCTCTCTCTCTCTCTCTCTGTGTGTGTGTGTGTGTGTGTGTGTGTGTGTGTGTCTGCTCCTCTCCCTCTCTCTCTGTCTTAGCCATTGTCGTTGAAGACCCTCTATAGAGCTCAAATGACTCAACCATGACTTCTCCATCAACAGCCCTGCTTTATTCCTGACCATATGGAAAACATGGCAAGGACATACCTCTTTGCTCTACGATGCTGCCGTGGACTTGTTTAAATCTTCCCGTGCTTCTGAATTCCATCAGCATCAGGGGCATCTCTGACTTGCTTGTTATGTTCCCCAGGTTTAGCCCAGAGACTGACATTAACGAGGAAACAGTGTTTCTGATTCAATGCTCTTATGCAATAACTTATGAAATTGTCTAGAATAACACGTTCTATCACGATTGGGTATTTTTCCTTTTCCTGTTTTGCATCTTTTCTGGCACCCGAACTTTTAAAATTACAACAGCAGTGTTTTAATTTTTTATTTTTAACTCCATGTCATCCAAAGCGCATTTACTCAGCAATCATGGAGGAGTACATAAAGGAATAAATTGATTCAAAATCCTGCCTCCCTCCTAGGCCTCCTCTGTGAAATGAAGTAGAGATGACCTCAGCTACGGCTTCCACCTAGGTCACCCTCTGTAGTGTCTTCATACCAGGCATGCAGACCAGCCATGTTTCCAAGTCTTTAGGAAACAAAGTCTGGGCTTCAGGGTTAACTTGCATAGCAATTTCTCAAACAGAAGAACAGGCAGAATGGGGCGATGGGGTGGGCTGAAGCATCACAGCTAGTGGATGTCTAGAATATTCTGAATCTCTGAATCTTCAAAGAGAACTCAGTACCTAAAAGTTGTTAGTAAACATTACAGAACAAACCACCTGACCAAAGCGATAGAAAGAGCTTTTTTTTGTCTTTATGTTCTAGAGCCAAGACACTGATCTCAGAGCAGCAAATGAGAAAATGTGACCAGGGCTCTCAACGCACACCTAAAGTTGCATGGTTGATATGTCCAGACAGTACCTGTAATTCACTGTACTAGCCCTGGAAGCTGGGTTTTCTATACTGCCATGGACAGGGGCCTGGCCAAAGGAAAGCCTACCCAGACACAGCTGGCCTTAGCTTATCACATCTGTACCACAACACACCGGTGATCTGATGTCATTGTCATCTCTCCAAGAAGAATCAGAGACATGAGAAAGCAAAGTTCTTCTTTTTTCAACCACCTGAGGAGGTACAACTAGCCCAGACACTGTCCTAGGCTGATTGTTATGGATCATTGACTAGAGGTGACTGGCAGGCAATAGCAATGCCTGAATGCTTGAATAAAACTGAAGTTTAGAGGAAATACCATCTTCATTGTGTGTGTGGGTGTGCACGCGCACGAATGCCTGTGAACCCACAATCACTCCCATGTAGACACTGTAGATATGTGCACGTGTGTTCATATGTGTGTCAGTACATGTACGTGTACATTTCTGCATTTATGACGGTTGGTAGCTGATCAGTAATTAACCCTGGTCATTCCTATACAAGGACCATCCTCCCTGCTAAATTCTCTGTTCAAATATCATTCTTAGGTTCATCCTTTTGGAACACCTCCATTTCAGACTGATTTCCTGTGCTTTTCCTCTGTAACTTTTACACATACCTTTTCCTGCTGATGCTACATTTCCACACACACATACACACACACACACACACACACACACACACACACACACACACAGAGGGAGGGGAGAGAGAGAGATTGATACATACCAGTGCACTCGGGCACACATGTAGTTTTTTGGTTTGCAGTCTCTCCCATTAATTTAATATCTTCCAATAAAATAGTAAAAGGGCAGCAAGAAAGCTCAAACGGTAGAGGCTTGATAAACTGAGGTCAATTCCTAGCTCCCATACGGTGTTAGGAGAGAGGCTACTCCTTAGAGTTGTCCGCTGACCTCCACATGTACATAACTCTCACACACTGTAGTGTGTGTACACAGGCACCCAGTCCCTCACACAGAGAAATGAATATATATTTTAAATATGTATTAATAAAACCACTGGGGAGATAGGAAAAACTGCCTCAGAGAAGGTGAGCTTATTCTGAAAGGGAGCTGGGGGAGAGCAAACCTCAAGCCATTCCCTAGACTGGTCCAATAAAGTATCCCGCACAGCCCGGGCCTGGAGTCCGTCCTCCACGGGAACACACTAAGCTCATACAAGGGTTGAGAAGCTTCATCTCCTTTGGCTAACTCTTCCCAAGTTCTTCAAGTGCTCCCTGTATAACCGGTGGTGTGACCACTCCATGGAATGGTTAAGGGAAAAGTTTATACTATAGATATGAGAGCGAGAGACAGAGGCATCTGGAAGAATTCAGAGTAGGGTCAGCCAACTAGCCAGGAGACAAGCAAAGCAGAGAGAGTGGGGGTGGGAGAGAAAGAGAGAGAGAGAATATGGGAGAGCAGAGGGAGGGGGAGGGAGGCAGAGAGAGGGAGACAAAAAGAAGGAGCAAAAAAGAAAGAAAAGAGGCAGAAACAGCAGGGTTTTAAGGAGAGCAAGGAGCTGAGGGCAGGGGAGTCCACGAACTGGAGGAGTGTAGAGCAGGGAAAGAGGTGAGAAGCCCTGAGATGCTAGCATGGACTCTGAAATGTGTAACTGTACTTGCGATACTGAATGAACCTGGTGGCCAGCGTGTACTTTGATACAATAATGGGCACCATAGATAACCATTTGTCCCTTCTGCCAGTGATAAGGTAGAGGGGAACTGGCTTCACAAGCTCCTGAGGAATGCTGGCTTTTGTCTAACAGTCAGAATTTGGGAAAATGGAGCTTCCTTTGGACCTGACACTCCCCACGTTGGCAACCTCACTTAACACAGGCAGAGGAACTATAAGGCAGCAGGAAGGAGTGCTGAATGGGACTTATGGAATGGATAGGCACAGAAGTGTTTAGACTGATGGAATGTAACAGAAACATTAAAATCTATGATGTTCAACACCTAGTCCCTTTGGCTATGTAAAAGCATGTACAATATCGCCTTCATTGCTCATTGTTAAGTTTGCACAGGTCCTCAGTTAGTAGGACATTTGAATGCACAAGCTTTGCCATCTGTTTTGTTAATTGGAGGCTGTTATTCTCTCCAAAAGAAAGACAGCAGCCTTGTGCAACGACCTGCAACCTGTTCTTATCTCACCTTGTGGTGGGTAGGCCTCTGTTTTTTGTTCTCAGGAGCTTGTGGGTTTCAGCTGCTCGTGGGCAGGGACCAAAGCTTCTTATCTTGGAAATGCTCAAGCTGAGGCCCCAGTGAGTAATAAGACTGCAGGCTGTGCACAGCTGGCTGCGCTATTAATCCTCTTTGATAAGATAAGACTGCCTCAGAACCCATTGTTTCCAACCAAGACTCACCAGAATATGCTTTTCTAGAATCCAGTCACGTCACCCCACAGGTGGCTGCCATGATGATGTGGCTGGCACACCCGTTGAAACCTTACAACACGCATACCCAAAGGGACAACCTATCTTCTCAGCTGAGGTTCCCAAACCTCAGCTCCAGTGACTGTCAGGTCAGATAATTCTTTGTAGTGGGAAGCTGCCCTTGTCTCGTGGAATGCTTGACAGCAACCCTGACCGCAGGCTACCAGGCCATTGCCACAGCCTTATCAGATGGCATATAGAAATACCTGCAGACATCGCCAGATGGTCCCTGGGAAAGAGGATTATTACTAAATGGGAGGAGGGGGAGAGGAAGAAACACTGTTCTATCGCTATGTAAGAATGAGAGAAAAATTTGGGGATGGGTATAGCTCTCACCCCTCAACAAGGAAACAGTTTTTTATTTTTTTCTTTTTTTGTGGAAGAGATAGAGACCACTGGAAGGAAGGAAGGAAGGAAGGAAGGAAGGAAGGAAGGGAGGGAGGGAGGGAGAGAAGAGGGCTGAATATGGCGCCTCCAGCCAAATCGTCCCAAATGACGCAGATGACGGAGCTCACGCATGCGTGCAAGGGCTCACACGGCTGTGTCAGACATAGATGATGCAACCATGCTGCTCGTGGTTCACATGGAGTCCTTTAAGATTTCGAGGGCCAGGCCATTAAGCTCTTCTGCCTGAGGGCTTGTCCGCACATGCTCTGCCCTAGAACCTGGAAGTGTCAACCATGTTGTGTGGCTGAATCATTACAGCTAGGACAACAGATCCATCTACAGCACAACTCCTGAACCCGAGGATTAGAGAGCTTACGGAAGAGAGGGCTGCAAGACTGCAGGCCAGGGGAACAGGGAGTTTATTGTAGAACTGTCTCCTACAATGTCGGAGAAGCTGTCCCCATGAAGCCTCATCAGCTTGGCTGCCTAAACAAGACCTGAACAAGGACGACACCCACAGGCACGCTAACGTGGAAGGAGGAAATCTCACAGGGGGTCTCAATCCTAAACAAACAGAGTACCAGGGGAGATTGGCTGTCTCTGTAAACATTCCTTTCCAGGCTGAAAAGCAAGACTGACTATCTTGGGAGATAGGTTGTCTGGATAGACATTCCTTTCTGGAGTGGCCCAGGAAGGTCATCTGCAATTCTGTAGGAATCTGGTTGGACACTGGTCCTCTCTCAGCCGCCTTAAACAAGTACCATTTTCGCTTGTCCATTTAAGAAAGCATTTCTTCTGGAAAGAAGTTAGGTGAAATGTATTGAATGCAAGTTTTCTGTATGACTGTTCTCTGGGAGGATTTGGTAGCAACTTTCCTGAGAACAAATTAATGGAGCTTTTAGATCTCCCCTACACTGAGCTAGAGGCTTCCCAGCAGCAACTCATTGAATGGACCAGGGCCACCACTTCTCACTTGCCATGTGAGGCAACAGAGAAGTAACCAGTTAAGGCCAGTGGGTCAGTGAGCTGAAAAGCAAGGCTCCCCTGGCTGGCAGGTCCTGCTCTCCTCCCCAGTCTGTAAGTGTTCCTTCCTTCTCTGTTCTCACACCTGTGTTTCCGCAGTGGGAACAAAGAGTCAGGCGCAGGCAGCACTCACTTCTCTGAAAACAAGGATCTTCCTGTTGAAATGAGGGATGTTTTCTGCCTCTGGGAGAATCCTTTGTCTTTGGGCTGTTTATAGTGATGACAGTTTCTTCTGTGCTCAAAACTGTGAAACTGATCTTTATCGCTGTGTATACTTCTTATTGACTGGCTTATTGTCTGGCCAAGAGACAGCTTGTACATCACTGAGACACTCAATTAAATGAGATACCTGGATTAGGTAGCCATAATTCACAGAACATTTGTATCTACATTAGAGACTATTGGAGGTGTGGCGTAGTAGAATAGAAAGGGTATGCATTTGAGGCTAAAAGCCT